TAGTCATAATCAAAGCCTTAACCATCACTATTTTGTCTCTTAAACCGATGAGTCTCTGTCCAGCATTTTCTTTCTTCGACTATTTTTCCTTTTCCATGTAATTTAGGTTGCCTTTCTTTGGCATGTTGGACCTCATAAAACAAGATTGTGTTTTAGATGTATTGTCAACAACTTTTAGGGGGTTGTTAACAAAAATTAAATTATAGGATGTAGCATAAGAGTGTAACAGGGGTCTAGATGTTCTTATTATTATTGTCGTCAGTAATCACTACCGATGGCCTAATCGGAAGGGCATGTCGGAATTGAATTTTTCGTAGGATTCCCCAGCCTCCCAAGTAAGGATTCAGACTATCTCGCGGCGATCTTGTAAGTAGCGCAACAGAAATGAAGAAATTTAGATTGATAAGGTGCAATATTATTGAAAAATTGAATAAAAAAGGCTAAAACTTTTATTAAAAATTTGCAGAGAAAATAAAACAAAACTGTAAAAAATCTAAATGATGAGAAGAAATGAAAGCAAAAATTAGTCTGAATAATATGGATGCGGTTTTCTTTTGAATAAATTTCTTCTCCTTCCTAAATTCTCTCCGTATAAATCTCACTTTTTCACCCCCAAAATAGCTCACACGCCACTTTTCTAACCAAGTCCACATGCTGACTTACTCCCACCAGTTGTTACGAGACTGGGCCGATCTGGTTGGTGAGTTGGCTCGACTGTTGGGCAACGAGACTGCTTGTTGTTGGGCCGTAAGTTCTGAATCGGGCCTGCTAGCCTCTTGGGGTTTTCTTTTTTTGGTAGATTACAAATATCCTTTACAAAATTATTTGAACAAAAATAAATTTGTAATCCTAATAATTTATACTTCAAATTATCTTGTGCGTGCAAGGCTCAAGTTATCTCCGTCATAGCAAAACTTGTAAGTATCAGTTTATCTCCCATAAGGGTTTTTCATTTCCTTTCTCTAATCCCTTTTACAAAAGTCTTCCATCTCCTCAAGCCCTAAAAACTTCTTCCTCGCGCTTGTTTTTTTTCTCTTTTTTCTTCCTTTGGCATCGGTCGGGGGTTCCCATTCTAATTCTGACTTCGTTTTCCACTAGAGCAGCATTGAGACTTCGACAGTTATCTTCCTACGGCGTTTAGGAAGGCATGACATATCTTCAAATGGATCATCTCAGCAAGGGTGTCTTGATGTTGAAGAATAGACCGACGGTCTAGACCGACCATACTTCAACGACGGCCGTGAGCATAGCGGTCCAAGTTCTACCCGGCGGCCAGCATGGGCTCGCATCTTTTGCGGAGGACGGAAGTGCGGCACCCAAGGATTTTGACAACATCCTTTGATGAGGTAAGATTTTTCTCGTTTGTCCTCAGTTTAAACTTGATAGTTTTCTTTCGAAAGTGTATCGTTTGCCTGGTGATACTTGTGAGTTCAAATCATGGGTAGATAGACAGAGACATTTTTTTTTATGAGTGGTGGTGTACCTGGAAAATTCATGATATGTTTTCCTTATGTACTGAATCCCTCTCCTGTGATAATCTCACGACAAAAGCCTTGTTGTGTTTTTTGGAGTTCGAACATCAACACTTTTGTATTTCCATTGAGGGTATTAACACCTACCATATTAGATGTAGCTGTGATTCTAGGATTTTTCTTGAAAGAACCGGCTCTATCTTTATTCTGTTGGCCGGATTGTCTGCCTATCCTTATAGCCTATGATAGTACCACCACGGTCAGCTAGTTTTTCTAGCATCTAACAAGCTTTTGGGTGAGGTTGATTATTTTGAGAACAATGTCCTTTTATATTGGTTTAGGAAGTACTTCACGTGTTGTGCTTTAAAATGGTTGGTTAGAGAAGCTGAGCCGATAACAAACTCCCTATTGTCTGGTGCAGAGCTGGACTTAGCCTTGTATTTCTTGTTTTTTTATACCGCGGCATCAATGACTTTGTGAGCGAACTGTTTAGTTTATCTTCTGATGAGCAAACTGGCATGTTGTAGTTTTTAGAACTGTGGGCGCGGTCAGACTTGCCCAAACGGTTTGGACCCGCCGGTTTTTCGGTTTACAAACCAGCGGTTTCGGTTTGTGTTTGAGCCAAACCGTGAACCGCCGGTTTACGGTTTGAACCGGCGGTTTGGAAAATATATATATTTTTATTTTTATTTTTTAAATTATGTCCGCCCAAACCGGCGGTTTGGAATCAAAACCAAACCGCCGGTTTGGGCGGGATAAAATTCAAACCGAAACCGGCGATTTCGGTTTGAACCGACGGTTTGGGCCTGTTTATTTTTTAAAAACGAACGGTCAAGATTAATTCACGCAGATCCGACGGTTGAGATTTAATGGAACAAACCGGCGGTTGGAGCCTAAACCGCCGGTTTGGGCGGGTTTTTAAAAAATTTTTTTTTTTGCAATTTTGAAATGAACGGTGGAGATTTAATGATAAAAATATTTAGTAAATTAAAATCGGAATCAAAATTAATCGTAAAAATTAATATTAAAAAAATTGGAAAAAAAAGTATATAAACCGGCGGTTTAAACCGTAACTGACGATTTTTAAACCGAAATCGTCGGTTTATATACCGTAATCGAAACCGTCAAACCGTAATCGAAACCATCATTCGGACGGTTCGATTTCGGTTTGAAATTCTGGCAAACCGTAACTGGCGGTTTGAACAGTTTGGGCAAGTCTAGGCACGGTTGTACTTTCCCAACATAGTCACTATGCACCATGATTTTCCCTCAAGTCCACCCATAATCGTCGGTTGTGCTAGCTGTATCCGCTGTTGGAACAAATGTCTGACCCCACAAGTCTTATTTGGGGGACTAGCCATAGGTTCTCATTACAATATGTTGGTTGGTGAAGTATATCAACCTCAAGTTTGTGCTCAATAGCTGGGGTTGACATATGGTGTCCCTCTTCTCGGTTTTGATCTACAGTCTCCTTTTGATCCATGTTATACCATGGAGAAAGCTAATGTGGAAGATTTGCGATCTAATGTTCGTTGAGTAGAACTTCTTCCACATTCCTTTTACACTTTGATCCCAGTCCCTTGGCCACGTTCGAGAGATGGTAAACTGGTTTCCGGGTACACGTGAACTTTGATGCATTACAGAGTTCTTTGGTCAAGTTGGTTGACGAACGTTCTAGTGGAGGGAGCTTATCTGACTCGGAGTCGGAAGGAATGGAATAAATTCCTGTAACATCCCATAAAAATAATTATCGGAAGTTCTTCGGAACTTGTTGGAGTCCGAGCCGGAGTCAGATAAAATTTATTTTGAGGCTTAATTTATTATGGTCTTTTGGTGTAAAAAAAATGTAAATAAATTATAATTATAAGTGTTTGAGCCATTTTGAGCCCAAAAATGAAATAAAACCCATGTTTATTATTTTAAGGCAAAATTGACCATAACTCCCTTGTGGTTTCGAAACTCAACGTAAATTTTCCCTCTACTTTAAAAATTGCATGACGTCCCCTTATACTTTAAAAAGTGTTACATGAAACCACTTTGTGGTTTCGAAACTCAGCATAAATCCCCATTTTACTTTAAAAAATTGCATGACGCTCACTTATACTTTAAAAAATATTACATAAAACCCCCATGTCATGCAAAACATATAGATAGAAAATTATCTTCTTATCACATGAGGAAAGTTTCATGGTGGTGGGGTTTCATGCAACGTTTTTTTAAAGTATAAGGGGGTACCGTGCAATTTTTAAAGTACGGGGAGATTTTACGCTGAATTTCGAAACCACAGGGGAGTTATAAGCAATTTTACCTTATTTTAAACATTGAGAGAATAAAGAGAGATTGACAACAAGTAACTTCTCTCTTTTCAGCTAGTCGCCGGAGCCACCTCAACCATCTTCTTCTTTTTTCTTGAAGGTGTTCTTCCCAAAATCTTCTTCATTTGGTCTTTTTTTTTAAGGTAAGTGAAATTAATTTTAAATAAATGATATGTTATAATTTCGGCGGTAGCTACAGTGCTGAATAGCACACAGTTTTCTAGCAAACAACATATGGTAATGTTAGTGTGTAATGTTCCCGGAGTTGGGCCGATGCTAGGCCAATTCTAGTGGATGAGCTGGTGTCAGACCATTCGAGGTTGAATATAGGTTAAATGGATTGAATAGACTACTCATGTCAATAATATGCATATTTTTTTTCGGGAACTCTACTGAAAGAACTCTAGAGTAGTCTCCTAGGGTGCGGGTAAGTGAGAATAGAAACGCACTGGAAGGACTTGTGTTGACTTATGGAGCCAGTATGCAATCCCGATCCCGATATGTGCGGCTTGCGGGCCGGAATGTTATACCAGCACACGCTATAATTATGAACAAACACATATCATTATTACAAATATAAAATATTTAATAAGTAAGGTATTTAATAAAATATTTACTTTGTAATTGGACGTCCAAAATAGAAATATGTATACTTTCTAGTTGGACGGAGGGAGTATTATTTAGTATTAAAATAAAATTATATTTTCTTTGTTCAATCACAAATGATTTTTTCTTTGTCTCCATAAAGATACTTTCTTTTAATTTTTAGTATATATATTTATCTAAACATACTTAATAAATATAAATTAATTTAATTAAATTTATAACAATATTACACATGGATTCATTCAAAATCCTTTTATTTTTATTTTTATTTTTAATAAATAAATATTTTTATTTATATTTAAAATTTTTATTTTTTATAAAATTAATTTTAAATTAATTATAAATAAATATATTTTTTTATTTATTTATATTACAAAATTGTTTTGTATTTTTTAATATTAATTATTATATTAAAATATAATTTAAATAAAAAAATAAAAATATATTTATTAGTCTCTTTGTAATACTAATAAAATAATATTTTTAAAATAAATTATTTAAATATAAAAATATTAAAATAATATAAAAATCAAATTACGGGACGGAACAAATATAATAATCTCGAAAGGTATGTGACCCGGGACGGACGGATGGAGCATTATAATTAGCCGAATGGAAATATCATCATACTTAAACGCTCAGCTCACCTATCTCACACAAATCTTATGAACTGATCTCACGTCCTTCCTTCTCCGCCGCGCCGTGCCGTCGAACGCACAACCGAGATCGGAAGTCTTCATTCATGGCGAATCCCAGCCCGCTGAAGGCCGTAACCCTTACTCACGTCCGATACCAGCGCGGGGATCAGCTCGGCCATTTCCTCGCCTGGATTTCTCTTATTCCAGTCTTCATCAGCCTCGGCGGCTTCGTCTCCCACTGCATCTTCCGCCGCGAGCTGCAAGGCCTCTTCTTCGCGATCGGTCTATTGATCTCTCAATTCGTGAACGAAGTCATCAAGACGTCCGTACAGCAAGCCCGCCCCGAGACCTGTGCCCTACTCGAAATGTGCGATTCGCACGGCTGGCCTTCGAGCCACGCTCAGTACATGTTCTTCTTTGCGGTTTACCTGACGCTCCTCACTCACTATAGAATCGGTTCCCTATTTCGGACTCAGATGGGGATTGTGTTCCTTTTGGTTTGGCCATCGACGGTTTTGACTATGTATTCTAGGGTTTATTTGGGGTACCATACCGTCGCCCAGGTATTCGCCGGTGCGGCGCTCGGGGCAGCCCTAGGCGGCGCGTGGTTTTGGGTGGTGAACAAATCTGTCCGGTGCCATTTTCCGGCGATTGAGGAGAGTGCATTTGGGAGATTCTTCTATTTGAAAGACACATCACATATCCCCAATGTGTTGAAATTCGAGTACGAGAACGCCAGAGCAGCAAGAAAACATGTATCCTACAAGCGATCTGATTAATGGATGGATCGATCACTTGATCCCTAGGTATATACTCAATTCTCTAGCATTCTGAGGTTTCCAAGCATCGAATCTTTGCTATCTACCTCTTTGATTATCCTGATTTTAGGTCTATGGAACATAGTATTGACATTGACAAGCAAACTGGTTGAATTTGCAATTTGTTTCTCTTGTTAATTGCCTGAAGATCATTTCTGAATTGGGATTCTGGTAGATTTAACATCAAGCAATGGCTATTTGCATTTCGAAAATTTTTCTTAGTTAAGTAATGGCTTTGTCTTCCGAATTGTGTTATGGTGTTGTAAATATATGGAATGACTGTGTATTAAAGCTTTCTGATAATCCTATTATCTCAAAGTGAGTCCATGCCGAAAATGTTGTCTAGAACAATACATGTTAAGGGAACTAATATCCGTTCGTGGCTACTTGTCTTACTGGTGAACATACTGAGAAGTGAGCATTAGTTTTCTGCAGAAAGTAGTGTCCATGGAAATTAGGCATCTTAGGGTGTGTTTGTTTGTAGGTTTTAGTTTTTGGGTTTGGATTTTTGAATAGTAAAAAGTTGAATTTGAATAGTTGTTTGATGTGATATAAATAGAGATTGATGTGATTTTTGAATGTAAATTTAATTTATAGTATAATATAAAAAAAATTTAATTGTTTGATGTGATATTTTTTTAGGAAAAAAGAATCTGAGTAAAACCCACGAAAGAACACAACTTAGTTTCATTATTTTGATGACTTATATGATCATTGTCGTATTGGTTGGCCTTGAAATCGTTAGAATGCAAGGAATGCCATTGGCAGTGAAGTTATGTTATTCCCATAATTTTTCTAGTTTGAATACGATAGATACAAGCAATGCTGAAGGTTTCGGAGTGTTGTTATAATCTAGGATGGTTGTATTCCAAGTTCTAACGGTAGTATAATGCAGAAAATTTGGTTTGAGTTTGGTATTTAAATAATGTATGATGAGATGTTTTGTGCGAAAAAAGCAGAGTTCAAATAGTAGAAATTTGGGGTTTGAAGGCAAAAGAAACAAATGTACATTAGTTATAAACTTATCTGTTATTTTTCACCAATCTGAATAAGAGATTACATCGAAGAAGAGAACATATTCGTCGATAGGCATCTGTTAGCGGAAAGTAATGCCTAGCTTCTGCTCCTACTTACCATAATCTCTTACGCCATTTTTACTGCATATGATTATCGAATCTTTATCTTGTGATTAGCATATGAAGATTGAAATTTTAAATCCCATGTGGTAAACATGGTCTTAATGTGTTAATTTTGATATTCTTCCCTGATTGTTTCTTGTCAGGATTAGCAGCAAAGCTAACAAGAGGTTCTTGTTTGGATCTCTTAGAGCTAAACTTCAAGATGGATAATATAGCACATAATTATTTGGAGGCAATTATATTTGATTTAGACACGGTTTGCCCTTTCTTTTATTTTTTTTTTTGCCTTCTTAGATTCGGACACAGTTGGCATTGTTGTGAATGGTAACTGTAACTGTGGATCTTCATACATGCATACTCTCAGTATATCCAAAGTATTATATCATTGATTATATTACATTAAATATTATTTAATAAGAACAAAGTTAAAAACATAAATAGAGCCTAATTGCAATAGAGTGGATGGTATATTGTTTGCATTCTTTAGCATGTCTTTTATATGTATACCTATATATGAATAGGTTTGTTCATTTTGAGTATTTTTGAGACATTAATTTTTTTTTATATACATATTATAAAAGAAAGCTCCCTCCGTCCACAAACTAATGTCCTATTTTCCTATTTTGGGATGTCTAATTATTGTCCTATTTTCTTTTTTAAATACAAATTTTATATTTTTACCTTTCATTTATTTATTACTTTTTATTTCTTTCATACAATTAAAGGTAAATTTATCAATTTATAACAAAATGACAATCACCTTTGGAGAGGGAGTATAATATAGATACACATTAACCTATGTATATCCCGTTAACAAAGTATTTAGGGCACGCACGTTAGGCTGTTAGTCAAATCTTTTCTCAAAATTTGTTTATGCTTTCTTTTTTCTTAGGAAAATTGAAAAATTAGATATATCTAATAGTAGTAACAAGAAATTGTGTATTTCTTTTTTTACCAAACTCTAAAATTTTACTATTTGAATTATATGGTTCTTCGGCATCTTCAATCCTTCACTCTATTTTTTTTTGTTACTTCAAATTTTACTTTAAAAAGTATATTTTCTAAATATTCTTCTTTTATATTATTTTATATAAATTTTTATATTTATAAATTACATCATAGCTTTAGTTATTTTTACTTTATAATTCATACACATATAATTTATATTTTATTTAAATATTACATATATGAAAATTAATATTTATAATTAATAATTATTACAAATAAATAATTTGAAATAAATAATTAAATGCTATCAAGACAAATATGATATGATAATTAAACAAAGATAATATAATATTATTATGGATTCATCGGTTGTCATTTCCACTGATGGGGATGGTGCTTCTAAAATTTCTCCGATAAATGCACTGAGATCTCGTTCATCTTCTATTATCATATTGTGCATTATAATGCAAGCAGTGATAATATCATGCAAAATATATTTTTTGCCAAAATCGAATAGCTTCAGCAATTATATGTCACGTAATTGTAGAACTTCAAAAGCACGTTCAACATCTTTTGTACAAAACTTTTGTTTATGTGCAAAGAGTTTTTTTGGACCACGTGGATCACGAATAGTTGCATAAAAGTAGCCTACTTAAGATAAATACCATTAGTTAGATAATACCCCATATTGTATTATTTGCCTTGAAGGGTATAATATGCATAAGGAGCAATACCTAGAGCAAGATTTGAAAACAGGTGCGAGGATTCTAAAATATTAATATCATTATTGGCACCTGACATACCAAAATATGCATGCCAAATCCAAAGGTTATAATCAGCCACAACTTCGAGAATAATAGTCCGTAATCCACTACGAACCTGCGAAAGCTGTAGGACAATTTTTCCATTTCCAATGCATACAATTTAAACTGTCCAACATACCTGGAAAACCACGAGGTTCTCCAAGATGAAGCAACCTTGCAATATCATTAGCATTAGGATCAGTTGAAAAAATTTCAATGACGGCACGACAAAATCTTTTAATACTTTCAATTGTTGTTGAATCACCAATATTAATGTACTCATCAGTTGAATAGGTACACTATATGCTAACACTCGAAAAACAACAATTATCTTTTGTAAGGTTGATAAGCCAAGTCTACCAAGATCATCTCTTCGTTGTTGAAAATACGGATCATGATTTTTAACCGCATCAACAATACGAATAAACAAACTTTGAGACATTCGAAATTGTTGACGTAACATTTGTTCATTATATAAAGGATTATTTGAAAAATAATCATTATATAAATTACGATATGAACTTTCACGATCACAATTAATTACTCGATGACCTGAGATAAAGCCTCGATGGGTTGATTGAGAGGGATTGAGTAACTGTTCTAGGTAAACATTATTTTGCATCAGTATGGAGATTGTTGTTTCATCCTCTTGAAAGGACTTCATGAAAATTATACTCACTTTTTCATCATCTGACGATTAAGAATTACTCATGCTGAAGAAATAATATTGTTTTGATAAGTGAAATTATGTTTGATGAATAAACTTAGTTGAATCCCCAATAATTTATAGAATGAAAATTTTAGATAAAATATAATTATATGATAATTTTTTGGATAATATAAGATGAAGTGAAAATGAAGTCCAAACGAACGGTACAAATTGCTTTTGATATAGATAAGTAGATTTTTATAATTTATAGTATATAATATTTATTTGGATAATATAGATATCCATCCAACGGAAGAAATGAAGATGAAATCCAAATGAACGATCTTGATTGCTATGACATGGATAAGTAGATTTTTATAATTTATAATATATAATAATTATTTGGATAATATAGATATTCATCCAAATGAGGAAATGCAAATGAAATCCAAATGAACGGTTCGGATTACTTTAATATAGATAAGTAGATTTTTATGATATATATATAGTCAAATATAATATAAGTAATTGAGATTGGTCAAAAAAAATGTTTTGATCCAATGGTTAGGGTGTTGTGAAATTTAAATGAACGTTTGAGATTAAGTTTTTCAATGGATAAGATTTGACATCTATCTAAAATTTGTCTATAAATATATCTTTCCACTATTTGAATTATTGCACCAAAACAACTTACTTCTCATTCTAATATAACAAAAGTTTATTAAAACTCTTCCTCAAAATGTCCATTCGAGATGATGGTTATAGTTATGATGAAAGATGTGTTGTTATGCCAACATTATTTAGATATCTCGCAAGATCCAATTACCGAAAGACAGCAGTCCAGGGATCAATTTTGGAATCGAATCACTGATGCATACAACCAAACTAAAAATCTTGATTAGGAGATACGTAGTGCAAGATCTATACAAAATCGGATCCAAGACATGAAAAAAGCTATCCGAAAGTTACTTGTTTATATCAAGAAAATAAAAACCTTAAAATCCAAGCTTTAGAGATGGATATTATAAGTATTTTCTTAAATTTATTATTAATATATATATATATATAAATATAGTAAAAAAGATAAGTATTATTTCTGATTAAAATCAAACAAATGAGATAGTAACGAAGAAAGATGCAAGTTTAAAAAAAGTTTTAAATTTGATTATGTTTGAAATTTGTTAAAAAGATTTGAAAAATTTAATAATCACAACGGAGCTAGAAACCCATATAAAATATGTCGAAAAAATAATTCCACTTATGTATCATCATCGTCGGATAACACTGTTTTTGAATCTCTGAAAATTTATCATTTTCTATTAACTTAGACGATGATGACAGTGGATTAAATTTAAATTATAATGTTGGTGGGTCTTCATACGAGCGTCCCACAATAGAAGAAAAATAAAGATAAAGAAGATGCTCATGTTAGTAAAGTTAAAGAGCAAAATTCAATGGTTATGGAAATACTACAAAAATTGACTTTGCACGGACAAGAATTTTTGCAACTGGAACTAGAAAAATTAGTATTTAAGAGAATGATATACGAGGAAAAATTTTACTTAACGTGCTTATTACCGGTTCAAGAAAGATGAAATTTTTCATAAAAGAACAATGAAATTTTAGAAATCAAATCCACAGTCTTCTTCGAATAAGGTTTTCTTAATATTTCAGTGATATTGGTGGAGATGGAAATGCTGTATTCCTCCTTATTAAATTAGTGTATTTTAATATTTTGTGTAATTTGTATTTTATCAATGTAATATGTTTTTTTTTTTCATGCAATTTGTTTTATATAATTTGAATTCTATCAGTATAATATTTTATGTAATTTTCATCTTATGCAATGCTTTTGTATTTTAATTTTATTTGCAACCTAATTTTATAACATATATATTTTTTCAAGTTTAAATAAATTTAAATTTAAATACACATATATATTTTTGCTACCTAATTTTATAACATATACATTTTTTCAAGTTTAAATAAATTTAAATTTAAATATACATGTATATTTTATAATAATTATATTTTATAATAATTATACATACATATTATATAACTTTGTGAAAAATATATAAAATAATTATTTTTAAAATAAAAAATTATACATAAATTTTACAAAATAAAATTACACGTTACATTAAAAAAATAAAATTACATACCACTTTCAAAAAAATAAAATTATACTATATCACTTTTAAAAAATAAAATTACACATTATTTTTTTAAAAACATAAAATTATATCACTTTTCAAAAGTAACATTATATATCAATTTTAAAAATAAAATTGTACATTATTTTTAGAAAAAATAAAATTATACATCACTTTTAAAAATTAATATTATACATTATTTTTTTAAAAATAAAATTATATATAACTTTTTAAAATATAAAATTATATATTATCTTTTAAAAAAATAAAATTACACAATACACTAAAATATATATATATATATATAAATTACCACAAAATATCAGAAAAACTCCACGAGAAAAAATGGAGGGAAGGTGATAACATTGTACATAACTTTAAAAATGGGGGTTTGGGGGTGGGTTGGATCCCCTCCTTCTCCCCCTCATTTTTTGCACAACCGTTTTCGGTTTCGATGGAGTAATCTCGTTTTCGACTCCGGAGTAGAAAGTCATTTCGTTTTCGACTCCGTTTATATTCACCTTGAGTTTGATTAAAAAATTATAAACGGAGATGATTAATTGGAGTTGATCTTAAAAAAATATATATTTTTTTCTTCTTGATAAATTTTAATACCAAACCTAGGTGTGTTTCTTTTGATGAGTTTGAAAAAAAATTGGTTTGAGTTTAGTATAAAAATAATATTTGATGTGATGTTCTGTGAGAAGAAAAAATATATTTTTTTCGGAGAACACATAGTCTAAATAGTAAAATTTTGAAAAAATTGACTAAAGAAACATACCCATCAAATAAAAAAAATACACCAAAGTATCACACTTTCCCGAGTCCTTCTTTTACAATTTAATTTAATTTTTTTTTTCAAAATAATTATTAGATTTAATGTCTTATTAAAAAAATATGATAAAAATCACAATAGTTTATACAAAAAAAAAAAAAAAAAAATTGCATTCCCGAAAAAATCTCATTTTTCAATTATTCAACCATTTCATTTTACCAAGTTCAATGTTAGTTAGATAAGTAAATGTTTCACATGCAACAAGAAGATGTTGTTTGTAACAAATAGTTTTGTTAGTTGATTAATTGATGTGATCACGTTTTATTCATGAAATATTGTGGATTGGTATTAGTCTGGAATAAATTAAAAAAAACCAATTTTGTTAATTGGTTTGTAAGTAAGATCTGTTTCTAAAATATAATTCCGCTGGACGGCCCAACAGAACAAATAAGGCCTTAAACAAAAAAATCCCAAATAAAGAAGCGGGAAGCACGTGACGACGTAGTCACGTGCCCACACCACCGATCAGAGGAATCGGAGTCGCGAGACAGCGCTGAGAAATGGCAGCCCTTTCAATGTGAATAAATGCAAAAGCCTCAACAAGTTCAAACTCTCTCTCTCTCTCTCCCCTCCAACAAGCTCCTTCAAATCCCTTTTCCAGACATCTCGTTAAAATTTTGAATCGAATTCTTGATTTTGGTTTTGAATCAGTAAAGGGTCCCAATGTGGCAAATTATTGTAGCAGCTGCAGCAGCAGCAGGATCAGGAATTCTGGCAAAGAAATTGATGCACACTAATGAAGTTGAAAAGCCCAATGAAAAAGAAGTTCAATCTCCTCATCAACCTCAGCCAGAGGATTCAGACAAGAAACAGGTTACAGGTGAAGAAGATGGGAAGATCTTCAGATTCTCCAGTCCCCAAACAGGGAATAAGGGCTTGAAGAAGAAAGTTTGGAGTGGATACAAAGGGGTTAAGAGGGGACAAAGAATTGTTGGTGAGAAACATTCTACTTCAGGGGCGGATCAGACAGTCTCTGCCCCTGGGAAGAAAGTCTCTGTTTGTTTGAAGAAGAGAAGAACTGCTAAGATTGCATCTGGGAAATGTGAATCTTGTGCTTCAAAAGGTGAGAGAGATTATATAATGGAATATATTTTAAACAAGGTTTCGAGTGGAATGATGGTTACTTTTAATTGAGATTAGTGTGCTTTTTGGAGGTGACAATGGGGGCCAAGCATTGGGGTAGTGGGCTGTGTGTTTTTGGATGTTTTGAAGTTAGTTGGATTAAAAGTTTTCTATTAGAAAATATGTTGTAGATTGCTATGAGAGATAGGTGATTTGATTGTGTTTTTTAGGGGCAAAGAATATTTTTCTTTAGATTGAATACTGCGAAACACACTGTGTAGTTTATTTTGAGATTGAATAGGGAAGGACCCTACATTATGTTGGCTTTCTTGCACCTTTTGTAAATAGCTATCTTTGGGTTAAAGAAACTTCCTTTGAGATCTTGCAGTAGATAATTATCAACTTCCAAAAGTCATACTTCAGTCTCTGTGGTTGGAAATCATGATTAGTTGGGGCCACAGTGATGGTTATGAGTTAGTGGTAAATGCTACCTCAAGAACACGTCTTCACTTTGTTTGGTTGTTATATGTGGGGTAGTGATATTTTTAAATGTCTAGGAATTGTGATGGTGTGTGTGGTAATCATTTTCTTGTTGTTAAGAGTAGGTGAGGAAGAAGTCGAGCAACTTGAGCCCAACTTGATGTTCGTCTAGAAAACTTGAGGTTAAGTGTATCATTGTGAAGCTCTAACTCAGGTTAATGTCAAGATAGATCAATAAAGCGAAAGGCTCGAAAGGAACTAAAGAAAGAGGCTTGAACTTGAGTTTGAAACAAGATCGATCTTAAAGTTTACAGATGCTCTTGGATATAATTCAAACTTAGAACTTGTTATTCAAGTTCGATTATCCTGCTACTTGCACATAATACAATCTCATCCCTAGTAGCAACTAAAGAAGATTGCCATATATGATTGACAGTTCACTCAAATAGTCTCTATATGTTTTTGAGGCTTTGTTTGTATAGCTTTGGGCTTAAGCAGATTGGCTAATCCAAACTTGAGTTCTTCTCTGCTTCTCAGATAATTCTTTTGGTTGGGGAGTTGGGCTCGGACTAATGTACATGATGTCGGCTGGAAAAGCTGAAATTAGTAGATTGAACTCGGCGATGGAGGAGACCGGAAAGGTTGTACAAGAGCTAAAGGCTGAGATTTCAAGAAGGAGAAGCTTATGTAATAAAGATACTGAATATGAAGCTGGAGCAGATGCAAAAAGCTCCATAAATAAATGTACAGTGCCATCATTCGGTCCCTATGTTGAAGTCGGCGAATGTGGCAGCAGTGGTGTAACAGAAGACCAGCAGCCTAAGTTACCGGAAATGGATTGGTTGGAAGCAGAGCTTGAATCGGAAATACAAAAGCTCCCATGGTGTACTCAAGATGGCTTTGATTCGGAAGGAAGAGCTAATGCTGTTGAGGCAAGTTTTAGCCTTGACAACTAATGTTGTGTCATTACTAGGGGAGAGGTACAGTTTGGGAGCTTATATAGAATAACATTTTGTAATTTTTTCGTCCAGGTAGAAGGCTTGACGAAAAAACCACAGCAGGAGGACTACTCGGGCTCAAATTTGTACCAATACAACAAAGGAGTATTGCCTACGGAACTGGATAACAAATTGTGCCACGTGCTCATCGAGCAACAGGAAAGCCAAATAGCTGAACTGGAGACAGAGTTGCATCAGGCAACTTCAAGACTCCATGAGAAAGAATCAGAGCTTGAGTCGCTCAAGAATTGCGTCAAACGTCTCAGTGAATTCTCATTAGCTAGTGTCACCTCAGGCATGTAACACTCATTAGCTATTCATAAATTTTAGTCAATAGTTTCTAATCTATCATATGAAATTTCAGATGAAGAAAACGAGAACAAGGAAGATGTGAGAGGAAGCGATGAGGCCGAAAGGGCAACAAGGGATGAACCTACAAAAGTAACGGTTGGGATGAAGCGAGCAATGGGGGTGTGATCCACAACAATGTTCTTGTTCAACAAGTGCAAAGGAACTGATTTACATCTATGAATCTTGAATTGTAAGTATGAAGTAAGTTTACTCTTGATGCAGAGGTTGAACATCAAGCGGATCACTGATACTTTGAGTTTTACATACAGACCATAAGTTAATTGATTATCTGTATATATTAGTTTAATATATGCTACGGGGGAGCCTAAGATTATTTGGATCATGCTGACCAAATGATTGTCAACAATCAGCAAATAATCTTCGTGAAACTAATTTAATAGCTCAAAAGTCAACATGTTCTTGGAGTAACAACCATAGAGTGAGTGATACAGATTATTCTATTGCAACCTAGGCAGCCAATTTGTGACATTTTTAAAAAGTTGACAAATGGAAAAGAAGGCTGTATATATTGAAAGTATACATTTTTTCCAATCAAAGTTTAAGATTTATTTTCATCTTATGACAATCCAAAATATAAGAAAGCATGCACAAAATTAAAATGTTTTCAATTATGGTGAATGAACACCATCGAATACTTCAAATTTTTGTTTCAGAGATGATAAATTAATCGTTCCACTGAATAACAAGTTAATTTAGTCGTAACAACTTCAAGTGCAATTTATATAGTATGACAATTCAATTTAGCATCAGTAATTATTTGTAAGGTCTGGGGAGATATTTTCAGTAATTATCTATAAACCAGATATTGGAAACCTAAACATTAAAGCCAGGAATTATGCCATAAAATAATATCTTAATCAGGAAAAAGTGTACCGACCTTCAATCCCACGCCATCACAATCACGAGAATTTCCTTCCCTACAATTCCCCAGTGCTAAAACATGTGCAGTAAATACTATATATATGTAAATCCATGTGTATGTTTTTTATAGAAGCAGTAAAAATGATAGCCTTACCTCTGCCATTAACGAGTCCGAGCAAGGTCGAGGATTTCCCCCTAGCATTGATGAAGCTATCGAGGAGCAGAAGCAGCGGACGAAGAAGAGCATCGCATTCGCGTCCAATGTTCAGTATCCGGCGCGCAACCATTTCGGAAACCGCTCAGGAACCGTCTTCTCCAACAGTCACTTGTATCGGCCAGGTGAGGGCCACCAAATCCAGCTCCCGCCAACGGCGACTATGTCGGTCAAGTGACCAGGCCATGTCCTGCAGAAACTCTTCATTCCAGCACCAGAAAGCATTGAGGAAGTGGAATTTCCTGTTTCTGAGGTCCGATTGCTCTTGCAGGAGCGATCATGCTACAGAGGATTCGATTAGGGTTTGTAGTAAGAGGAAGAAAAAGTAAATATGATCAAGTCTGAGAATCAATCCATGTTGGCTGTAAATCAACTTCTTCAACTGCATTTAGATTTTTATTTTTATTTTTTAAAAAATAGGAAAAATATCAGGTTTCTGTTAGTATAATTTTATTTTGAAATATTTTTATTTGGATATATATTTTAAAAAATAATGAATCAAATATTTATTTATTTATTTTTATCAAACTTTAAATCAAATATCAAATTATTATTATTTTAAAATTTGGTTAAGACTAAAAAAAACATCTTGTCCAAGTATTTTATTTTAGAAAACAATTACTATAGTTCTGTAGCTTAGTTTGGAGAAATTTGATTTGGGTTTGGATTGAATTTGAATTTTAGAATGAGTGGTATGATTTGTATATAAATTTATATTATATTTATATATATTTTTATATTTTTATTTATTTGTATTATAAAAAAAATTATTATCTATATAAAATAATATATATATATTGTATATATTTTATTAAATTATAATTATTTTAATTATTATATAATTGCTTTGGTAGGTACCTGCACAGCTGTGCCATATGTTTTTATAAATTAATTTTTTTTTAAAAAAATAGATAAAATTGTCGAATTGGCGAATGTAGCTCCTGTCGGTATAGGGTGGCATAAGGGTGGTTTGGCGCCCATTTTTTTATGCACGGTAAAATGGGGTCAAACCTTTGGAGAAACACACCCTTAGTCTTAATATAATAAAAATTTATTAATTTTAGCTATGATATAAAAATTTCATTAATTCTAATTTTATTATAAATAATATTAGTCAATCATAGACCTATTGTTGAAACATCAAGAAAAATTGCATAGACAAAAGAGTCGTGGTTCGCCGACTAACCAACTTTATAAATAGCGATCACACCACGCGCGGCCAAAGGAAAGAAATAACGATTTTTTCAAATATATATGATATATTTTGTCAGCGAGATAAATGCATCACAAAATTGATAATAGGGTATACATATGAGATATTTTTTTACAATTTTATCTAATTACTAGACAGTTTTCAGCTTGGATATGATTTCCCAATTGGAGATCCATAGATCCCAGCTTCGACCTTGCGTTGCTGAAGCTCCATTGATCTTGGATGAGTGTCATTGTTTTCATGTAGGAAGACATTTTGCTGGTCAACGAACAACAACCAAAGTTTTGCATTCTGGTTTTTATTCGCCAACCTTACAGAGAGATGCTGATGCCTTTGCGAAGCTTACGATGAGTGTAAGAGATTAAAGTCTATCGTGAAAAAAAGTGAGATGACTCAGAACAGAGTTCTGATTGTTGACATATTTGATATATGAGGAATAATTACAGGGATGGAAATAGGGTAGACCAGGCTTGACTTTGGCTAAACAAGCCAGACATATTTTGAAAAACTAAGGCATGAACGTGGCCTATTAGCTGTAATAAAAAAATTATACAGCATGAGCCTGATCTATTTTTAAGCGTGTGTAGCCTACAAGTCTATTTAAAAGCCTATATAATAATTACTTTTTTATTTTTAAAATTTAATATTAGTAAAAAAATATGAATGCAATTACTTATTATATATATAATTATAATTACAATTAATCAATTTTATATATGGTTATTATCACTAAATTATTATTTTTTTATAAAAAATGTAAATATATAATAATTTTATATATTAAATTAAAAATATATATAAATAGGCCCGTCTGGTAGGCGTAAAAATATTTTGTAAAGCCTAATCCTATTCTAATTAATTAAATAGGCCTATATTGAATTATTTGAATAAATAGGCCAAATCAAGCCAGACTTTATGCAGGCCAGACTGTAGGCCCCTGGTAGGCCACCTGGCCTATTTCTAGCCCTAGGAATAAACTGTCTGAGTATGTTTCTGTATTTGTATGGAAAAATTTATATTTTAGTTGTTATAAATTATGTGAGTAAGTGGGTTGAAGCGAAAGTGCTCCGTACTAATGACGTCTGACCAGTGACTTATATTCTGAAGCACACATTATTTCCAAGGTTTAGAGTTCACCTTAATCAGTGATAATGGCACCCATTTTGTAAATAAGACACTGCAAACCTATCTCTAACAATATAGTATTCACCAGCATCTGACTACCTCTATCATCCACAAGCAAATGGTCAAGTGGAGGTTTCTAATAGAAAAATCAAGCACATTTTTCAGACCACAGTCAACAAAAGTCGCAACAATTGGGCTGACAAGCTTGATGATGCTCTCTAGGCATACAAAACAACTTTCAAGATGCTAATAAGGATGTCCCCATGCAAACTAGTTTATGAAAAAGCCTGCAATCTATAGCTACAACTCAAACATCGCATTTATTGGGCCATCAAGTTTTTGAATTTTGATCTATTGTCATCCCAGGATAAATGCGCCGCCCGTCTACTAGATTTAACTAAGTTCCATTAACTTCCGTATGGGAATGTAAAAGCATACAAGAAAGGACAAAATTTTTATAATGACAAAAATTTGAAGAAGAAAGAGTTTAATGATGGATCCAAGATTCTTCTGGATGATTCTAGACTCCACTTGTTCTTATGAAAATTGAAGTCAAGGTGGTTATATAGTCAGACAAAGTTCTGAAAAGCGATAAGAATCAATGATGTAAATTCTTTAGATGAAAATGACACATTCCTGGTCAACGGAGCAAGGCTGATACTTAATATTGAAGGACATGCTTTGAAACAAGCCGAAACAAGTATGATGTAAATTCTTTTGATGAAAATGACACCTTCCTGGTCAATGGAGCAAGGCCGATACTTTATATTGAAGGACATGCTTTGAAACAGGCCGAAGCAAGTATAAATCTGATTGATATTCCGTCGCTTGCTCCATAATCAAAGTGAAACCTAGACTCATAATTGTCTAATCTTATATCCGCTCCATAATTTACTACTTTCTTCAATTCTGTCTAGTTAAATTTTATCATTTTCATAGTATAATTTATTTTTTTTATAAATAAAATAGATAGAATAACAATTTTTATAGTTAGAACCACCGCTTACAATTGATGGCTTTACCGTTCATACTTTATTTAGTTCTTTAGATTTAGATAGGAGTCTTGCTGCCAAATGTGCACCGTTCACAACCACACACCTGGACTGCCTATATATACTCCCCACTCAATCATTTCACCATTTTACCCTAAAAAATAATTTCTCAGAGAAGCCTCGTAACCGCCATTTCTTAGACCCTCCAAATTGAAAAATCAAAGCCCTTTTGCTCGATTTTAGGATAAATTAAGGTACAGTCAAGGGTACCCATGGTATAATTCATAATATTTTGTCTTGATGCACATGATTTCACACATATTAACATAGGAATTAAAAATTTTCACTGCAAAAATCAAGTATTCATAGAAGTTTGAAATTTTTTTTTGAATCTTAATTTTATATGAATGTAAGTCTTTTATTTGCTAAATTTAGATAATGCAAGTTATTTCATAGCTTTATGTGGTTAGATTTTACAAAATCTATGGTTTAAAAATGAGATTTCATTTGTTTGCATTTCTTCACAACAAAGCTCTTTGGAACTTTGTTCGCTTAGTTGTGGGATGAAGAACTAGAGGTCAAATTAGCTGGATATTGAATAACTTATCTTCTTTTCTTAATCTCTAGTCAAATTTGTACTGCGATTGCAGGTTTGAGTTTGTTTTGGTTATACTCAATTTTTTTTTTTTTAAGTTGTCAGAGAAAATCCCTATGCTAAGTTAAGTCTCAACCATAGATTCAAAAAGAAAATTAGTGAAGGACAACGTGATGATGGATTTTGAGAAAGTTTATAAAAAAATTGAGAAGAAAGTGAATAAAATATTATCTACGGATGGAAGGAAGGCTGTGAAGATTAATCTGATAGAGAGTTAGTTGAACCACCACATCCAAAAGCATATTATTTAAGGAGGAAAGTG